TTTGGAAAGGTAATTATTTGTTCTGCATCATGTTTAAAAGATGAAGAAAAGAACATACTTGGTTCCAAAAAAAAATCATAAACAATACAAATCTGTAAAGCAGGCACCAAACACGGACCCCTGGAGATTTGAGAAGTGGGATCGGATGTGTAGCAGCATTAAACACCAAATATTGACCGACATTTTTTGTTTGGTTAAAATATTTTAAGTAGTCAAATTCAGTATAAAAACCAAGTATGAAAGAGTCACATAAAATACGACCCAAGTTTATATTAATGATAGATTATATTTGCTTACAATGTCAGTATAGCAGACATAGAATTTACAAAATGCTGACTTTAAACGAGGTTGATGAAATCCCTGTGACTTCAACTTATTAGTGAGAAGCATGTTTCACTTTAAAAAATGACCGTACTCAGAGCAAGCGAATAACTTGGGAGAAATAAACAACGTGGAAACCAGTCTTTCGGATGAGACCGTATTAGCCGAGGTACTGTGACGCAGTAGGTGCTGGCACGAAAAATGTCCCTCACTGCTCAATCACTGTAAGTGCCAAGTATAAGACAAATTTGCAGCTCTCCGTCGACCAGTGGAAGCGTCTCCGTATGAGTGAAAAATTCTCAAGACAGACATTAAACAACATACAAACTCATCTGTTGTTTAATATTCAACGTAATAAGACAATTGACCATTATCATATTATAATGATAAGCATTCATTTCTTAATATTTAGTGTAAACGTTGCATAAATTTATTTTACCCCATGTTACCTCTTCCAGGTCTTCATCTGTTTATTCCTTGAATATCACTCACTGGATTTTGTTATGCCCCTCAGTTGTGACATCATAATGGGTTTTGCATGAGAGTGGTGAAGTAAATTAAAATAGACGCCTAAATAAATCAGTGTGAAACTTTGATAGTGATGTATAAAACAGGGGATAAAAAGAATCTCCTATGATTTTTGGCTCGGGAATAAAAACACACAACTCGTCAGATAAAAATCATATCCCACCACATTTCATGGAAAATGGAATATTTTTCTTTTTGAAAGAAAAAACCAAAGATAATAAGATCATGCCCCTGTCGCTTAGTTATGATTTAGTACACATGTAATTAGTGTTACTGGATTGCAGATGACCAAAGAAGTTGCATTAAATGATCACACGAACAAACTCACTGATCATCATTATAAACAAAAAATACAGACTGTTATTTCCTGTATTTCCATTTCATTTTTTTTCATTGAAATGAAAATATGTCTGAAACCCCGTCCATTGCATTACTAAGCCAAACACAGCAAGAAGACAATTCAAATGACATTATAGAGACAACAGAATTTACAGCTCCTTTTTATTAGTAGTACTATCTCGAACACAGGAACATCAAAATTTCAATACTAAAGTGTTTATTTTTCTTCTTTCAAAGAATATATATAATTCTTGTAAAGGGCCAGTGACTCTGTGATTTGTACATCAAAAAGATGATAACGCTTGAGATTCTTATGCTTTACCTGATAAAAGGCAAGAATTTATTCATTTTTGTTAAACCTTTGAACCTCCACTTCTAATTAACTTTCATTAATGGTGTACTGCTTCTGTAACAGTTTTTTTAATATGCTGAAATTCATAACTTTAACTTTCTAACGTTCACATGTTAATAAAAATCAATAGCACATTTTTTTTTACTTCAAACGAATTTTTAAATACCTGATGAGGAATATATCAGATGTTAACAAAAGCATTTAAAAACATGTAAAACGTGTCAAGAATTTTTACTTTCACTTGGATGAAAACGGAAATCAACATAAAACAGAATAGTAAGTTTAAAAAAATACTCCTATATCCAGTCGGGGTAAAATTTTTTAAGGAGGCTGGGGGTCAACAAATTAACCATCAGATTAACTTAATTTTTTAGATATGATATCTTAAGCTGTCAACTATCATTTGGCAAGGAAAATTTTACACATTTTAGTTTTAAATTTTGACCATTTTTGTATGGAGCTCTTCTTCTAAAGATCAATAAAGTTCAAAAATGACCGCGACCCCTCAGCCCTCTTCAAACTAATTTCTTCATTTCTTAAGAGAGTAACCCTTTAACCCCATGAATATTGCAAATATGGTGTATAGAGAGGGAGTTATTTATTTATTTAGTATGACTTCTTTTTATTTTTCATTTACCTATTTTACAAATGGCTGTCAATTGCAAAGCGAATTTATTAAGAGCAACGAAAGGGGAAAATGACTTTTCTACAATTTGAAAAAATTATTGAAAATAAGACTTCAAAAATCAACTACATAGATAACGTCTTTCGTGCACAGCTTCCGACGGAACTTTTAGAATAATGTAATATTTTTTAACATTTAACATAACATTAAAAATATATCTTGGATAAAAATAAAATAGAAATAAAATAACATAATAAAGTGAAAATCCTAGACTATTATGTGCTACTGAACTCTTTGTTTAAAGTATTAATTTAGAATAATCAAGCTCTTAAATTACTACAAATCAATAATATTTTTTGTCGTTTTACAGCAACATACTAGTAGTTGTATATCATAGTCATAGAAATCATAATAATGTGATTTTTTTCTGGAAAAAATACAGGAATTGTGTATCGTTTATGGCTATTTCAGTTCCAGTGTAACAGCAATCTAACGCGACCTCTCAGAACAGAATCAATGGATCCTAGGATCTGATATGTACCTGGGGCTCGTAACATTAAGCTTGCTAAGTTTTTGACTTAAGTAGGGTCGTAAGTACGTTTTAGGCACAATCTTAGGACCTGTCTAAGTACTACTTAAGTATGTCTTAAACCGTAACATAAAGCGAACTAAGCTAGGTCTTAGCTAAGTCAAACTTATGTTTAAAATATTTCATATGAGCCAACCTATGTTTTTTGATTTTATATAGATATTTTCATTTTTTGATTTTTGCTAAAAGTGATTCGGTTAGGGTTTTAATTCATTACATATTGAAGTTGACGTCCTTGCCTATTGGTTTAAGTTATGTTAGATTAGATTTCGTATTAAAATTTATAATTATGTTATGAATTAATCGGAATGTTTGGAAGCAAATACCGCACGGTCAGAAAGTGGCGAGTTGTGGTTCATTGTAAATTTACGGCAATTATTTTATCACCTGAGATGTTTTCAGTTTTCCTTTTGTAACTCTTTTGTTTTGACAAATGTTCACTTACCCTGTTATTATCGCAGACAAGAAAAGATAATCGACCGTCTATCTACTTAAATTTGAAACTCTGAAGAGTTCAATACATGTTGAATCCCCGCTATGTATCAGGCCATGTATGTCAGAAGCAAAAACTGCAGAAGTTTTATGATATACTCATTTGCAATTTAATCAAGGATACAAAAAAAAAATCGGGATATTTTTCCGTATGTCTCCACTTATCAGCAATTCTCTCTCTCTCTCCAACTGTAGTGAGCCCTGTCTAAATCCGCACTTGTCGCGTTCTACAGATACTTTTTTTTATAATATTATTATTACTGTCATCATCCTCTTTCTTTTCTGTTTTTAACAAATCATTTCAACTCATTTTTTCAAAACGAACATACAGATCCATGGTTTATTACTGTGTTCAATTTACTTCTATAACCGAGGTCCCACTAATTTCAGACGTATCCCTAAAATTAAATTTTGTATTTACATGTATGCTCTGTTGGGAGTGATATTGGAATCAGTGATCAACCCCCCCCCCCCAACGAAAAAGTAAAATTCTTAAATCAGCGTCAAATAGAGATAATTATTTTCTTTAATGCATAATATGAACAGAGGAATATTTTAACATCGAAAGTCAACATTAAATAATTCTAAATATATGTACATGAAAGTTAAGATATACTTAAGTCACCTCTACCGGCCGCCTAAGTTCTGCTAAGATTACCAAATCTTAGCACGCTTCTAGTTACGGTCTTACGTTTTAGACTGTACTTAAGTCCTACTTAAGCACGGTCTTAGACTTAAGTAGCCTTTATGTTACGACCCCCTGTACTTTAAGTAATTAGTCGACCAAGGAACTTATGAAATGATGAACTTTAAACCTATTGATATTCTTGTTTATCCAACTTGCATGCTGTACTTACTCCATATACATGTATTTCACCAATTCTCCTTTTTTCACTCCATGAAAATTTAGTGCTTGTGGGTGATGAATCTTTTTCTAATAAGGTTTGTAATTTCGAACTCTCTATTTATTGCAAGTTCCTAATTACTGAATGCATGTATTAATAATTTTTTTTTATTTAACTCCGGATTAGTACACACACTTTTTCACATTAAAGACAATATTGTTAAAAAATAAAATAAATAGATTTGTGCGCTGATATATCATTTTGCTTCTCAAAAGTGTGAATGACGTTTGAATATAATTATTCATAACATACAAAATATATTTTTGTACCAGGTGTTACCTTACTTATGCTAAATTCTGGTGATTACCTCCCAACCCTACCCCGTTTCTCTAAATAACTTTAAATTGGATTTTTAAAAAAATGTTCTACATGCTCATAATTTTCAACACAACAATAAAATATTTTAAAATATATTTAACTGAGCGAAAAAATCAAAATGAAACTCATTCCTTTCTAAATGGAAATTCCAGCATGATTATTGTGTATTTCGTTGCCATGGCAACCGAAATTATATTTTTATAATCATTTTCGGAAACTTACAATACCTGCTTTCAGAAAATATGTATTAGTATATACAAAAATTACAAGAAATACCTGAAAAATCTAAATATCAATTTGTCCAGAAATGCTTAAAATCTATGCCATGGAGGGGGTTAAGGTATTTGAATTCTCTGTTGTTTGCAAGTACCTACTTACTGAATGCATAGATTAATGCCTTCTTTCTTTAGTGCATGAACTATTTTTCTCACATTGAAGACAATATTATAAAAACTAAAATAAATGGTTTATTGTGCTGATATCATTTTGCTTCTCAACGTGTAAACGTTTGAACATACAAAATATTTTTTTCTTCTACAAGGTGTTACTTTACTTACCATATCGACTTCACCTGAACTTAAAGTAAAATTTAGAAGTGACACCAGCCTTGTTCTGAGCTGTAATTATTCCGTGGAACACGGAGAACGTATATCAGATAGAGAGATTAAATGGCAAAAACGAATAGTAAACAGATTCGAAGATGTTGCGGTGTTTTCTCCTCCTGGCGGAGAAGAACCTTATATTCATCATAAATTAGCCCCTGCTCTTATAAATAGAACAAAACTTATCACATCAAATACAAGTGTATCCTCCATTGCCACATTGATAATCCACGATGTTGTCTGCAGTGATGAAGGATTGTACCAATGTTGGATAGAGTATTTTGTCGATGTCGACCATAGAGACAAGCACAAGAAAAGTTTATCTTTAGTTACTTTTGAGGGTAATTTCAATAATAACAAAAATAACGTCAATAATATAACAATACAATTTCCTTTGTATTTAGATAGACACTGAATACGAATCAGCTGTACGTCGCGACATTTACAAATTAATGCATGACATTATGTACAGGTTGTATTGTCACAGACAGTTTAAACACACCATTACAGCATGATCTCATATGCTTCATTCTCGTTCTGTTTATACCCATATTTTATTTAAACAGCTGAAGCTACAGAACCAGTACAGTTTGTTTTAAAACAACAATTCCAGTTGGAGGAGAACCAGTCCATACATCTTATGTTGGAAATCCGGCGGGAAACGTCAAGATCTGGAAAGTCCCGGAGAAAACAAAGATTCCAGAAATCTTGTTCACTTCAAATTTACTGAACAACAAAACAAAGAGCTGTACCACTTTTCTTAACGTAAGCACAGAATACAAAGTTTCCAGAAAAAACAACGGGATAAAATTTCTTTGTTCCTCACAAAATAACCTTACACAGGAGCCAGGACCAGGGAGATACTCACAAAGAATATCGGTGCTTTGTAAGTTCACCACAATTGATCAACTCTTTACTCAAGGTTGTAATGAAGACTGGTATTTTCAATAAAGACGCATTTTTTTAAAAGAAAGATAAGATATATTTTAGTTATTCTGACCCTTCCGTCCGCTGCTGTTGTTCATATTTATATAAATACATTTTTATCCTTTATTTTTTAATTGTCCTTAATTTGATAAACATATTCAGAATAATTCAACATTTTTTTTATTTTAACTTACATATAGGTACAATTTATTTATTTTGGTGAATATTGGAAGGGCTGGTTTATATACCTCTAGTACTTTTTTTTAAAGATTTTTAATAGAATCTTTCTTTTAAAGATGGACCGGGGACGCCATTAATTTCACTTTTACTATTCAAAACAAGGTACTATGTCGATGATGATATAAAACTGGAATGTTTTTCTGACAGTAATCCGCCCCCAATATATAGCTCGACATTTCTACCTACTAACAACAACGAAGACGATACAAAATACTTCATCAGTAACATGTCTTTAGTGGAGCTGAACAAACTTCAAACCAACAATTCTGGAAATTATGCTTGCTCTGTGTTTAATACATTCAATGAGAAGACTTTTAACATTACGTCTATGGTATCTATATTGGTTAGAAACCACCCTAAACAACGTAAGTAACAGTTACACCTAGTGTATTTAAAAAAATAAGCATCCCTCTTAGGAATAATAAAGACTCATGGCTGATTCTAATCGCTCATTGGATAGCATTGTCTTCAGGAAAAAAAACCTCTAAGATTATTTTCATGCATGTGATATGTCTATATATTTAATATCGACAACTCCACAGCTTGTTAGAGCTTTTCTCTGTGTTTCTGTTTAATTTATATAGTTTTTTTTCATTTTGTACAAAATGTGTTGTCAAAAGATAAGGTTCCTTTTTTTTAGTGAAAGTTGTTGCGTATTTTTTTTTAATATATCATCATATTTCTACATATTTCTTTAATAATGTTTAACAATAAAGTGATATGCATGTATCATGCATTAAGAATGATGCTAAACGGCATCTTCGGGGACATGTCGAACAGAGTAAATTTGATATAGACGGGAACATCAAAACCCTGGCACTATTACAGAAGAAGCAATCCCGGAGAACTACGTAAGTATGAGTGAAATTAAAAAACATTTAATTTTAAGTATTACAAAAACTAAAAGAAAACTTCTTTTTAAGGACTCTATTCTCATGACTGCTGGTGCAGAATAAGAGATCTTGCAAGTAAACCATTAAATTAGCCATTGTTGTGGAGAAACGCCGGCGGATGTTTGACTTCAGACTCCCAGTTAGCTGCATAACTGTAGCTCTCCGAAAAGAAAAAGAATACACTGTATTGACAGACTAGAGAGCTAATCCTTTGCCATTGCACTAATGAATTTTTCAATTCACCAATGATATTGAGGATTTCAAAATGCGTCTTTCTTGAAATTGAAAAACCTTCAGACCAAATATATCGGAAATTGTATTTGACCTGCTTTCAATAACTACAATTGGAAGATTTTAAATATTGCATCTATGATAACTATATCTGTTATAAATTAGAGGGTTCAGGTAACCCGACTTAGCAGTGTAATTGTGCCATTTAAACGCAATTTATTGGTGTTTATAACCGTGATTTTTGCATTATTTTTCATATTTATCTAAAAATTAAATATAAGGAATTTGTTCTACATTGCTTGAAGTTTCGTATGATGTGCGTGTTATGTCATTGTGAAAAGTTTGTAATAAAAATTAACCAGGTCGAAGTTGTGCTAAAATTGGATGCGGGGTTTCCCCTTTGATGCATGGCACTGTAATTTTGTCTCCGCGATGTTGATAGCGTCATTTTGATTGGCTTTCCGGGAGGCGATTTTTAGGGAATTGACAACATTGACCTATCAGAGGAAAGCTTACATTTTGAAGATTAGCATCGTTATTGTTGCATCTATATGCAATGTGCAGATGTTCATCTATTTTCGTTTCAAAGGAAAGAGATAAATTTTACTACGGTAAGTAATCAGAATATTTTTATGCAACATACACTATTAGAAAGCTGAGAAAATTTCGCATCTGAAATTTGTAGTTCTGTAATCATTTCGGAAAATAATTCACCCGGATTCCACTCAAAAGTCGTCACCCCGACGCAACTTTTGAACAGTTTTTAAGCACGTATAAATTTATGCATACTTTGTATCGTAAAACCACAAGAGAAAATAAAAAATGTGAGATTAAATAATATTAGTCTTAAAAAATCTATGAAAGCTATGATCATTTCCTACTACATCATGCTACATTTAAACATGAAGAATTATAGAAACGGTCCCTGAAATAAATGTACAAATTTGATTCTGTAACCAGGATTTCCTTTGAATTCTGAAATACTGTAGAATAACCCGAAGTTCTAATGTGATATAAGACAATGTTTATTTTTTGCTTTACTGATAACTATAAAAATATTTATAATTGTGTTTATGAACAGGATACTTTGTGGTTAATTTTTTTTTTCAGTGAGACTTCGGGAAAATTCTAGGATCATTCCATATTATGATGTACCTGCCGGTAGTAGCAAATGTCTGGGATAAACTGGTTTAACATTCAACTTGTCCAGGAAGCATGGATCGATAATTTAGACTGAATATGTAGAATTATTTATCGATACCGAAAATTTGATATCATGTATTTTAAAGATCTATATAAATTAAAATAAAGTTGTGAATTTACTGTAGTAAATTCTTTTTTTTTTCTCCAATCTTTGCCAGTTTTATAATATTGACTTTTTTCTTCTTTGCGATGTCCAGACAAAATTCTGACTTTTAGTGATCATATTTAATTAAAATCACTCTTCTTATAAATCTTTTATAAGTAATAATTTGTAAAGAATTAATAAAATTTCATTATTTGTTCCTAGCTTACATGATTTGAAAGCATTTTATCAATAAGACTGTGTCGACCATTTTGACTATTGGCGGCCATATTGGATATTTTGCCGCCATCTTAGATATTTTTCAGCTGGCATGGAAACAGAAAATTAGAGCTTGCATAGACCTTTCCGAAAATATATAGTTTGCCATACTTCCAAATAAAATTAGACTCTATCCTTTAAAAGTTACCTAGATTTAACGGATTTTTCTTCCTTTCATGTGCCATCATATAGTATTCTCATTTAGTTAAATTTTCTTACATAAAACAGCAATACTCGCAACATTGATAATTTCATAACTTCAGTTCTACTTGGAATTTTTTCGCCAAGTAAAGTATTTTATATTTCTGAATGTGTCCATGTTTTTGCTAGACTATATTTATTTGAATATGTCTCATCGAAAATTTATACCTGTCATATAGCGAGACTTCCGCCATAGTGAGACTTCCCCCCGGAAGTCTGGCTATATAGTGAGTCCTCCCCCTGGAGGAAAATATGGATATATAGTGAGACTTCCCCCCATAATAACCATAGTGAGTCTTCCCCCTTCGGTTTTCGGTTTGGATTTTATATACATTGACATAATGAGATATTTATTGTATGCTTTAGGGACCTTTTAACTTTTATAAATTTTATGAAGTATTTTTAGGATTTGTATTTCAATTTGAAATTAAATTTGCGTGATATTAATAAAATTACATAACTATAAAATCAAATAAGATGGATTTGAGTTCCAATACACTTTAAATTAAATTCTGACTGTCATGCATATTTTAGCAAAGGCACCGGATGCATGGATTGGGCTTAATCCCCCCTTTTTTTTTTAAATTTATGACCGGAAAAATTGCATGAAAATGTGTGCATCCCCTGCTCATCACACCCATATATCAATTCATACAATTATTTTTTCATTTTGGTCGTGTTTTAAAAATTATTCATTTAAAGATATTTTATTAAACTGGGTTTGGACGATTGGATGTTTGAATGCACGTATAAAAAAATACGTAAAATTAAAAAAATATATATACTGCATTGCAATTGTCACTTATTTGACTAAACTATTTTGCACTAAAGTCGGAGATGGCTAATTGTCAATTTTAGTGTGTAGATCTGTTTTGTCGCAGTTTCATTTTTACACTTTATACGTTGAAACACAGAGCGTACATATATGCATCAGTCATTACTTGATTGAGATAAGATATTTGAATATGAATTTAAAAAATAACAAAAATAATTCATTTGTTATTATCCTTAAAGTAGATTTAAACTTTATGTACATGAAACTTTCGATAAATATAGTTAGGAACTAAGAAAATCATAATTGAGATTTGGAATGCATGTTTTATTTTTCACATTCGAGCACAATTATTTTATTTCTCGCATAGTCTTAAAGTACTATAAAGTTTTCTTCTTTTCGCTACATTTTTTATTAAATCGGTTGAACCATATCTAATGTGTAAATAGCTAATGTTTGTACACAAACAGAAAAACAAACAAACAACACTATGCTATCAATTTTTTTTTATTCAAATGCTGAAAACAATCAGATTATTTCATATAAGTGACTCGTGAACTAATAAAATTATTCGTTATCAATACATGTAAAGGAATGGGTATACATATTATATATATTATATCATCTCAATTTTACATGTATATGTTATAATGGATATCAAACAGTTAAAACGATATTCAAACTGTTCATGCATATAAAATAAATATATAAATACATGTATATATATGGAAGTTAATTTCGTCATAAATTAACACTGTTAGAATTTTTTTAAATAATAAAACAATGTTCCGGAAACTATAATATGAGGCGGAAGTCTCGCTATGAATGGGGGAAGGCTGGCTATAAAGTGAGCCTTGCCCCCGGAAGAACGGCTATATAGTGAAACTTCCGTGGGGGAAGTCTCACTATATAGCCATTCTTCCGGGGGGAAGGCTCACTATATAGTGAGCCTTCCGGGGGAACCCTCACTATGGGGGAAGTCTCACTATACGACACCTGAACCCCCTATATAAATACATTAATACAAAGTATGGATACACTGATGTGTGACTTGTCAAATCGGGGAAATTTTAAGAAAAAAAAGATGATCAGAGTGTCAGTACTTGGAAATTCTTAACGCTTATAATTACCCAGGTATATTGTTATATCGCTTTCCTTAGTATAAATCTGTTTTGTGAAGTTTTATCTATCTTTATCTTTATAAATGAGATCAAAAAGTCCTCTGTAAATTTGTATTGATGCAGTTCTAATGTTTTTAATAGCATCGTTTTTTCTTAGTCTTCCTACTTAAAAATTCTCAGACAAAAGAAAATAAGAATGAAAAAGAAGCAAGTCAACAGGACGGAAATGAAGTATTTGATGTTGCAATTGTATACCTAATTAGTGTAATTCAATCTAAAATTTAGAAAACACTTTCCCATTAAGGATATGGAGGAAAATGCCAATGGTTTAATGAAAGTCACAATAGTTATTAATAACCGGATGGAAATGAAGTATTTGATGTTGTATACCTAATTGAGTTAAAAATTTGGAAAATTGGAAAACACTTTGAAAATGCCTTTAGTTCAAATAAATATATATCCAGTCGGTTGTTAAACTCCCAATTCATTGACCACCAACCTTTTGTGTATGGTTTTTATGCCACATTAACGAGTTTTCTGGAAGTTTTCCGACTAGACCAGGATTAAGAATTGATTACAGGAATATTCTTGATTTCTAATGATGAAGACCTGTGGATTACCGAAAAGTTGTCCAACAATATTGAATTAATTATTTATCATTTGCAAGAATATTAAAAAAGCCGATCCCAATTTAAAGAAAAAATGATTGTCAAC